AAGTGGGTCCCTGTCATACATCAGTGTGTATGTGATGGTGGTGAGGATGTGTGTCCCTGTAATACATAAGTGTGTATATGATGGTGATTAGGGTGTGTGTCCCTGTAATACATCAGTGTGTATGTGATTGTTGTAAATGTGTGTGTCCCTGTAATACATAAGTGTGTATATGATGGTGGTGAGGGTGTGTGTCCCTGTAATACATCAGTGTGTATGTGATGGTGGTGAGGGTGTGTGTCCCTGTAATACATCAGTGTGTATGAGATGGTGGTGAGGGTGTGTGTCTCCCTGTAATACATAAGTGTGTATATGATGGTGGTGAGGGTGTGTGTCCGTGTAATACATCAGTGTGTATGTGATGGTGGTGAGGGTGTGTGTCCGTGTAATACATCAGTGTGTATGTGATGGTGGTGATGTGTGTGTCTCTGTAATACATCAGTGTGTATGTGATGGTGGTGAGGGTGTGTGTCCCTGTAATACATCAGTGTGTATGTGATGGTGGTGAGGGTGTGTGTCCCTGTAATACATCAGTGTGTATGTGATGGTGGTGAGGGTGTGTGTCCCTGTAATACATCAGTGTGTATGTTATTTTAGTGAGGGTGTTTGTCCCTCTAAGACATCAGTGTGTATGTGATGGTGGTGAGGGTATGTGTCCCTGTAATACATCAGTGTGTATGTGATGTGTGGTGTGTATGTGATGGTGTGTGTGTGTCCTGTAATACATCAGTGTGTATGTGATGGTGGTGAGGGTGTCTGTCCCTGTAATACATCAGTGTGTATGTGATGGTGGTGAGGGTGTGTGTCCCTGTAATACATCAGTGTGTATGTGATGTGTGTCCGTGAGTGTGTATGTGTGTGTGTGTCCCTGTAATACATCAGTGTGTATGTGATGGTGGTGAGGGTGTGTGTCCCTGTAATACATCAGTGTGTATGTGATGGTGGTGAGGGTGTGTGTCCGTGTAATACATCAGTGTGTATGTGATGGTGGTGAGGGTGTGTGTCCCTGTAATACATCAGTGTGTATGTGATGGTGGTGAGGGTGTGTGTCCCTGTAATACATCAGTGTGTATGTGATGGTGGTGAGGGTGTGTGTCCCTGTAATACATCAGTGTGTATGTGATGGTGGTGAGGGTGTGTGTCCCTGTAATACATCAGTGTGTATGTGATGGTGGTGAGGGTGTGTGTCATCAGTGTGTATGTGATGGTGGTGAGGGTGTGTGTCCCTGGAATACATCAGTGTGTATGCGATAGTGGTGAGGGTGTGTGTCCCTGTAATACATCAGTGTGTATGTGATGGTGGTGAGGGTGTGTGTCCGTGTAATACATCAGTGTGTATGTGATGGTGGTGAGGGTGTGTGTCCCTGTAATACATCAGTGTGTATGTGATGGTGGTGAGGGTGTGTGTCCCTGTAATACATCAGTGTGTATGTGATGGTGGTGAGGGTGTGTGTCCCTGTAATACATCAGTGTGTATGTGGTGATGAGGGTGTGTGTCCCTGTAATACATCAGTGTGTATGTGATGGTGGTGAGGGTGTGTGTCTCTGTAATACATCAGTGTGTATGAGATGGTGGTGAGGGTGTGTGTCCGTGTAATACATCAGTGTGTATGTGATGGTGGTGAGGGTATGTGTCCCTGTAATACATCAGTGTGTATGTGATGGTGAAGGTGTGTGTCCCTGTAGTACATCAGTGTGTATGTGATGGTGGTGTGTGTATGTGATGGTGGTGAGGGTATGTGTCCCTGTAATACATCAGTGTGTATGTGATGGTGAGGGTGTGTGTCCCTGTAATACATCAGTGTGTATGTGATGGTGGTGAGGGTGTGTGTCCCTGTAATACATCAGTGTGTATGTGATGGTGGTGAGGGTGTGTGTCCGTGTAATACATCAGTGTGTATGTGATGGTGGTGAGGGTGTGTGTCCCTGTAATACATCAGTGTGTATGTGATGGTGGTGAGGGTGTGTGTCCGTGTAATACATCAGTGTGTATGTGATGATGGTGAGGGTGTGTGTCCCTGTAATACAGCAGTTTGATGATGATGATGTGTGTGTCCCTGTAATACATCAGTATGTATTCGATGGTGGTGAAGGTGTGTGTCCCTGTAATACATCAGTGTGTATGTGATGGTGGTGAGGGTGTGTGTCCCTGTAATACATCAGTGTGTATGTGATGGTGGTGAGGGTGTGTGTCCCTGGAATACATCAGTGTGTATGTGATGGTGGTGAGGGTGTGTCCCTGTAATACATCAGTGTGTATGTGATGGTGGTGAGGATGTGTGTCCCTGTAATACATCAGTGTGTATGTGATGGTGGTGAGGGTGTGTGTCCCTGTAATACATCAGTGTGTATGCGAGGAGGTGTGGGTGTGTGTCCTCTTAATACATCAGTGTGTATGTGATGGTGGTGAGTGTGTGTGTTCCTGTAATACATCAGTGTGATGATGGTGATGTGTGTGTCCCTGTAATACATCAGTGTGTATGTGATGGTGGTGAGGGTGTGTGTCCCTGTAATACATCAGTGTGTATGTGATGGTGGTGAGGGTGTGTGTCCGTGTAATACATCAGTGTGTATGTGATGGTGGTGAGGGTGTGTGTCCCTGTAATACATCAGTGTGTATGTGATGGTGGTGAGGGTGTGTGTCCCTGTAATACATCAGTGTGTATGTGATGGTGAGGGTGTGTGTCCCTGTAATACAGCAGTTTGATGATGGTGATGTGTGTGTCCCTGTAATACATCAGTGTGTATGTGATGGTGGTGAGGGTGTGTGTCCGTGTAATACATCAGTGTGTATGTGATGGTGGTGAGGGTGTGTGTCCATGTAATACATCAGTGTGTATGTGTGTGTCCTGTATACATCAGTGTGTATATGGTATGTGTGTATATGGGTGTGTGTGTCCCTGTAATACATCAGTGTGTATGTGATGGTGGTGAGGGTGTGTGTCCCTGTAATACATCAGTGTGTATGTGATGGTGGTGAGGGTGTGTGTCCCTGTAATACATCAGTGTGTATGTGATGGTGAGGGTGTGTGTCCCTGTAATACATCAGTGTGTATGTGATGGTGGTGTGTGTGTCCGTGTAATACATCAGTGTGTATGTGATGGTGGTGAGGGTGTGTGTCCCTGTAATACATCAGTGTGTATGTGATGGTGGTGAGGGTGTGTGTCCGTGTAATACATCAGTGTGTATGTGATGGTGGTGAGGGTGTGTGTCCCTGTAATACATCAGTGTGTATGTGATGGTGGTGAGGGTGTGTGTCCCTGTAATACATCAGTGTGTAGGTGATGGTGGTGAGGGTGTGTGTCCGCGTAATACATCAGTGTGTATGTGATGGTGGTGAGGGTGTGTGTCCCTGTAATACATCAGTGTGTATGTGATGGTGGTGAGGGTGTGTGTCCCTGTAATACATCAGTGTGTATGTGATGGTGGTGAGGGTGTGTGTCCCTGTAATACATCAGTGTGTATGTGATGGTGGTGAGGGTGTGTGTCCCTGTAATACATCAGTGTGTATGTGATGGTGAGTGTGTGTCCCTGTGATCAGTGTGTATGTGATGTGTGTGTGTCCCTGTAATACATCAGTGTGTATGTGATGGTGAGGGTGTGTGTCCCTGTAATACATCAGTGTGTATGTGATGGTGGTGAGGGTGTGTGTCCGTGTAATACATCAGTGTGTATGTGATGGTGGTGAGGGTGTGTGTCCATGTAATACATCAGTGTGTATGTGATGGTGGTGAGGGTGTGTGTCCCTGTAATACATCAGTGTGTATGTGATGGTGAGGGTGTGTGTGCCTGTAATACATCAGTGTGTATGTGATGGTGGTGAGGGTGTGTGTCCGTGTAATACATCAGTGTGTATGCGATGGTGGTGAGGGTGTGTGTCCCTGTAATACATCAGTGTGTATGTGATGGTGGTGAGGGTGTGTGTTCCTATAATACATCAGTGTATATGTGATGGTGGTGAGGATGTGTGTCCCTGTAATATCATTTCCGCGGAATACAAATATGCACTTGGTAAATAAATCTGAACTGCCCTGCATTCTGTTATCTACTTAAGTTTCGAATAAAACATGAATTCGTATTTAATATTGACAATTGATGGAATTAAGCCGGAGTTTCTTTTTGATAGTTTAATGGGATAACTATTAAGTACTTTACTACACAGAGTTTTTATCAAGTTTCATTTTATAGATAGAAAAATAATGGACTCTTCCGTCGAGAAGTTATAATACCATCCCTATAGATACTTTATATAGGCTCGTCTGTTACTCAATTTATTTGACAATTCCGTCTTAAAACAGTAACAATGCCTTCATTTTAGGCTCAGGATCAATTTGTTTTAATGCGAATTCTGTCTACAAAATAAAGTTAGAATGCAGCACAAATTATTTAACTTCCGATTCAATATTGATAGCCTTACCTCAAAATCAGAGGTATCAGCTGGAATCTTTCTGTGGGAAGTGATCAATTTATTTCAGTGTTCTGTGATTTCTTTTCCTGTGACGAATTGGACAAACAAAAAGGACTTGAATCCTTTAATACAGCGAACTGCAAACAATGTAATTGCCCAAAGACTTTTCGAGTTTTTAAAAAACCACACTTTTTTATCCACGGTTTAAAAACACCCATTTTTTAATTATAGGAATCTCTAAGCTATCAAGCCAGAATTATTCGTCTTGTCTACAAGGATTCTGAATGGTTGTGAAGGGCATTTAGATATTAATAGCACCCTAAATTCAAGACAAATAATGTTTATGCAGAATAAGGGATAGAACTTTGTCATATCACTATTTCATACTTTTAGGACTCGTTAGTGAATGGCAGGGACCTAAAAAGTTTTCGAACTGTGAAAAGATGTGATAAATACCAAAATTGACCCGAGCAATGATACAAGCCCTTTGGTTAAAATGAATAATTTTGAAAGAACATTAAGTATTGGGTAGTTGACAAAATTCACCTGTTTAGAATATGGTTGTCAAAGTGACTATTGTGTTTTAATTACAGAATGCCAATAGAACTACAAGCTTATCATGTCACCCAACCCGGTCAGACAAACAAAGGGTATATTCCAAACGACCAGGACGAGGTGAGTACAGGTCAACCGGTGTTATACTCTAGATAAATTAAATATATTTCATGATTTACGGGAAACAAAATTAATTCCCTTTACACAAGACGATAACAAACAGTTGCAATACAGGGCTAGAAACAGTTTTTTTATAATAAAACATAAGAAATAGAAGCGATTCTATCAACGTGATAAATATAATCACTTGATGAAACCAAATAAAGGTATGTCTTATTTCTTCAATGCCTCAACGAAAACAAATACATGTGTGTTGGTTGTCTTAAAGAAAACAAATATGGATTCATTACGGGTACATGTATATAGCTACATGGTTGTAGGATATGTTGATGGAAATAGATACGGGTATACACAACTTGTAGAACTCATTTGAATCATGTTGCTTAATTAACATTACGATGTGGATATTTCAAGCACGTGCTGTTTTTTGTGTTCACATGCAGAGTATCAAGAGGTCAAGTGTTTACAAATCAGCATCAGATTATAATATTTTCAATGTCATATTTTAATTCTAGTTTTAGAAAAATATAGCAGTGAAAAATAAATACTGTTTCTTCTTTCGAAGATTCGACATTCGAGTGATGTGGCAGTTACACTTCAAAATGGTCGTTCTGGAGATAAAGATGACGTCATGAATCATGATGACGATCCGCCGACTGATCACTGCTCTTTATGTGTGTATAACACACAGAAAAGCATAGTTGGCGGTTTGTCGTCACATTGGGTCCTGATCAGACGATGTATAATCGTTGTAATCGTCTGCCTATATTTTGCCTACTTCGGGTATTGTATGTACTTCCGGTTTGGTGACGAGGGATCAATTCGGCTGTTGGTGTGTACAGTATTCGGGGTTCTGCTGGCATTTTCACTGTTGGTCTTAGGATGGACAAAAAAGCAAAGACGTAGCTTATGGAATAGGACTATAAAACCATGCGTGACATCTAAGACGGGACAACGTTCCATCGCGATTTTGTCAATGTAAGTATAGCCGAACAGTAGTAAAAAGATGTGTTGTTGACTGGATAAAAGGGACATGTACATGTAAGTTGGTATCTGATAGGGAATGCTCAAATGAGTTTTCAAGGAAATCATTTCCACTCTTAAAAGTTTTTTTTTTATTAAGGAAGGTAAGAGACGGCACAGCCCCTTCTGTCTGTTGATATGTAGTTAGAGCTCGGTACATCCACTTGCTGAATGTTACAAAAAGACCGATGGTATCAAGTCATGCATGGGGCTCCAAATTTTGTCTTGGTTTTATATACATGTATTGTTCAAGATTGACCGACTTTTCCACTTGGTATAATGTATAATATGCTTCGTGATTCACAGACATGTTGCTGCATAGATTCGTGACGTAACATACATGTATTCTGCTAAAGTCATGTGTACGCATTTGATACCTGAAAATTACATGTGAGTGTCTGTGGATAAATTTGCATACTTATGGTATATCTCATCTTTCTATAATTATTCTGATACACATACAATAAATTCCAGTGTCTTAATTTTGGCAACTTATGGTGATTTGTATCTACATCCATGTATATGATGTCATAATCACGTTGTTTGTTACGTGTTGCTAATTCAGTTGATAGTCTCGGTATGATATTCATATCAATCTAACGATTTATGTCTCCAATCTGATAGATGCATAAAATAGATACATATGAAATTAATTGATCTTCTTATTTTCTAGAACTTATAAATTGAGTTTAATAATGTTAAATTAGTAAGGTTGTGACAACGTTTCGGGTAATGAGTGAGTGAAATATGGACGCCGTGACTACACCGAGATCCAGAGTCTAACAAGTGTCGGTGTTACAGAAATTCACACAGTCGTGACATAATTACCTGGTTTGGTGAAAGAGATACCCGTGTTCCGTTTATTGACACTTGCCGTCCGCTCTACATGCTATATAATACTATTGACTGTTGGGACTGCGAGACGCTGATGATTTACTGATGTCCTTGATAAAACACCACAACATATCACGATATATTTCCTTCAGTAGTTGATGTTGGTGTATTTTAATAAGAGTTATTTTCGAGATATCCTATGTTTGTACTATTTTCGAGAATAAAACAGAAACACGGAAATAGATACATTGAAACAAAAGGGGAAAAATAGATACACCAATACCCGAGTTCACTTCATTGTGCTCGCGAAAATTACATTCTTTTTTCTTCGAGATTAGTTACGATAGTCACAGTTTCAGCCATCGACACGTTTTTACTCACAAAATGTTCATCATTACTCTTGCAGTTAAATCCATTATTTAGCTCTACTGTAATCTATGCCATTCTTAACTTCCATTATAAGTTGATTTACATTTGTGTGTCCCTGTTGTACAATTTTTGAAAGTAAGAAATAATGTTCTACGTCGTTTTCAGATTGCTGAAGGTCATCGTGTTTATCATCATCGCTGTTTATATTATCGTTGACGTGGCAATCGACCATCCAGAAAATCTCATCGCAGTTGCCGGGCAGACCATCTATATCATCATCTTCTTCATTTTCTCTATAAGTCCTGGCAAGGTGAGAGCCTCCCATTTTATAAACAATCTCGTGTTCACAATATAGCAATCGACGATAATGATTTAGTTCGAGAAAGTGTCATTAGACCAATGCCTAGATAGGGATTTATTTGTTAAAAGATAAGGTTTTATTTGAAGATAAAAATTCTTTACGTTTTGTAAAAATGAGAAGCGATGAAACTACAATAAAACTATGTAGTAATTGTATTCAAAGGGAATGGTTCAGTATAAGTCCAGGAAACGTCTTTATCCTGGAAATATTATCAACCTTGTACAGTTTATACCTATGTCTTCACTTCCGTTAGGCAATAAAGTATATTGGATGTAGCAAATAACCATTCATACAATTATGAAAGTTGATGGATTCGGAAAATCGGACATTTTTTGAAAAATATTGTAAATAATTTCTACACATGGCCGACAAGTCTACATAGTCCACATCTATCACACATTACAGATTCCTTTTATTCGTGTTTTTGTCTTTCACAGGTGAAGTGGCACACCGTATTCTGGGGATTTGCCCTACAATACATCCTCGCACTCATCATCCTACGTCAGGAATGGGGATTCCAGGTCTTCAAGTACTTGGGGGATCGCGTTGGGGAGTTCCTTCAACACTCAGACGCCGGCGCAATCTTCATGTTCTCAAACCCATTAATCAGCGCACACATATTCGCCTTTACGGTATATAAACTCACATTTAGAAATTTTGTTGTAAAAGGCTGTTGTTATATAAATATTATGAAGAACTTATAGTATTCCAATCAGGTTTACCTGGTTACACCATACTGATTTCCATATCCTTACCGGTAATTGTTTTTTAAATATGTGGTACATTATAGATGTTCCGAACACATGCTCATTTTGGATTACCAAAACATTATGTTTGTCCTCATGATGGAATTGGAAACTGTTTTATTATTTTAATTAACATTCACATGACGGGTTTTATCGATGAAGTAGGATCTTTTCGTGATTTTGTACGATACAAGTATCCGTCAAAACTTTTAAAAGGATACGTGAATTTTATAGTTGTCGATAACTTAATTTAAGGATCTTAAGTTGTTACATTGACCGAATAATTGATTCACAGGTGCTTCCAATTGTCATATTCTTCTACACAATCATCAGTATCCTGTACTACCTGGGAGTCATGCAGTTTATCGTGAAAGTACTGGGGCGTATGCTTGCATTTAGCATGGGAACTACCCCGGCAGAATCTCTTAACGCCGCGGGAAACATATTTGTCGGTATGGTAAGTCGTCTTTTTCCATCTTAATGATTTTACACGTGAATACCCCTTTTAATACAAATTAAGATACGGTAGAGCCGACGAAGAAGACTGCATCGTAAAGCTATTTCGTCCTGCTAACACTCGTCGGTGGTGCTAAGGAACGGAGTTTTGAAACCTAGGAGGCGATTAAGGAAAATCTGAAGTAATCGAGAGAGAAGTCAAAATCTAGGTGAAGAGTTTCACAAGCCACCATAATTAACTAAATTTCGTAATTATCATATAACTGATAACAACTTCAATTCACGTGTTTATTCTGAACCGTGCCACTGTTCAATTGAATTAGAATGTGGATGGCGTCGAGGACCAAAAGTCCACCAACAGCGTCTGCCACCTACAGTATCTTAGATTGTACAAAAGATGCACAATTCGAATTAGATGCAGTAGAACCAAATAATGAAGGAAGCCGGACCATGCTGCTTTTTTTTATAGAAAAGAAAAGGTTCTGGAACCTAAACGTTTTAATTGTTAAGATAAACGGTCAACCACGTTAAAAAATGTGTGCCAAGAATTTCGAAGAGTCTTTAATTGTGTATTAATTTCTTTGTCCTTACAGACAGAAGCGCCTCTGATGATTAGTCCATTCCTAAAGGATATGACTTCCTCAGAATTGCACGCTGTGATGACTGGAGGATTTGCCACAATAGCTGGAAGTGTTCTGGGAGCGTACGTCAGTTTTGGGGTATGTTTCATACTGTGATCTCATTTGAGTTAAAAGCTTGTTGCAATATGTGTTATTTCTTTGCTCATTTGTTTCATTTATGTTTTCTTTCTTCACGGCCTGGTAAGGATATGATAATAATAAGACAGGATCTCCTTAGTTGATCAGTCAAACACAGAGAGATTATCCCGTTCAGATCAACCCGGAATGTGGTATGTAGTAATTGACGTCTCCTTCCACAGGTTCCCGCAAACCATCTTATATCTGCATCCGTCATGTCGGCTCCAGCCGCTCTAGCCATTTCCAAATTGGCCTATCCTGAAGTGGAGGTGAGCAAGTCAACCAGCAAAGACTTCAGCAAAATGGAGAAAGCGTGAGTGCACTTAACGCAATGACGTGTACCATAGCAATCCTTTAACGAAAGAAGTTAATCTATTGAAGATTGTACAAAAGACATACAAGTGAATATAACATTTTAATCATTTAGAATAAGATGCAGTGAAGCCAAACAATGAATTAGACTACATCATACAACTGTCCTTCTGTCCTTCTAAGACTCGTCAGTGATGATAAGGGCCTAAAGTGTGAAGTCTTAGAAGGTGACTAAGGAAATTCCAATGTGATCGGAAGAAAAATCAAACTCTATGAAGGGAGGTGCAGAAGTCCCATAATCAAAGAAATTTCGTAATTTTCATATATCAGATAATTTTAGAACAGCGTCACGTGATTGTGTATATTCTAAACCGTGCTACTATTCGAATGAATAATTGACAAATACTATTTTCAGAATGAAGAACATTATATTATAATCTACCCTCGTATAATAATCCCAATCTCATACTGAAGAACGACCGGTCCCGTACAAAAATACAATACTGCAATGGGAGACGTTTGTCAACACTAATATCTGATGGAAAGTGAATATAAAACCCTTGTTATACATGCTATCTAGATATCGACGGCACAATATCGACTTACGAATCGGAGATCAGACAGGTACTGAAATGTATCACTGTTAATGTTATAGCTAGCTTTTTGAAACTCAATGGAAAAATATTCTGAAAAAAGGAACATCCAAGCATGAAGTCAAAACGACTTATCGAGAATTGGAATACATATATCATTTGTAAGGAGAAATGAAAATTGGTACTTATTATTGGTGAAACATCGTGGAGTATTATATGAATTCATAAATTTTATTGCTAAGGGAGAAATGAAAATGGGCACTCATTATTGGTGAAACGTAATGAAATATTTTATGAGTTTGTGAATGTTAGAATATGACGTTTTCATAATTGATGCAAGAAAATGTAATTCTGTCAATAGGGCACACGGACTGTAACTGATATCATTATGGCATGATTCAAGAGAATCGACTAAATTTGGAATCCTCACCTTAGATGAAGCTTTTGGGTTTTTTCCTTGGCCTAAACACTAGAGCCATTGAAAATGGTATCTGCTTCTTCCGGTTGTCTCTTGTCATATGTTGTGATTGGTTATAGTGTTCTGTTGGGGCCTTTCGGCAGTATACTTCAATGTGTTAGCACTATAAGTTCGGCATCAGTTCCGCATTATCGCAAGACGATAAACACTAAAAAAGCATGCGTGAAGTACATGAGCCATCTCATTCCTTTGGATAGGATTTAGATTACTATAGAAGTTTATAGGACGTTAGGTAATATAAAAAACAAATCAAAGGTTGTATAATTGACACACACGTGAATAGCAGCTTTAAATGCTAATTTAGATAAAATACAGTGGTTAAACAATAAATTAAATTGCATTATACTTTCGTCCTTCTAGGACTCGTCAGTGATGATAAGGGCCTAAATTTCAAACCAATGAGGTGACTGCGGAAAGATCAAAGTGATCGAGAGAAATAACAAAATGTAGACGGGGTGATGCGCTAGCCCATGATTCAGATTCATCATAATTTTTAATTTCATACTCGCATCAGACAACTTTAGAAGAGACTTAAGTGCATGTGTACCTGTATGTTCTGAACCCTGCAACTATTCCAAGGACTTGAAACGTTACATGCCGGTAAATCAAACCAATGATACAAAACATGCACAGTTGTCTAACGAATGTCCGTTTAATATGCCCATATTATCCAAACGATTTCAGGAAGTATAATGTTTTCTCATTGAATTTCGTGCATTAATGTCTGTTGATGACTGGTTACGTTTTTTTACTCTACAAAACAATCAGTTTACTTTCATTAGATTTTCATTTCACTAATTTTGTAATACATCATCTTGTTTAACAGCAAGGAGAGGAACATTATAGAGGCAGCCACAGCCGGTGCTTCAGCCGCCATCAAACTGGTGGCTGCCATCGCCGTCAACATCATCGCCTTTCTGTCCTTACTTAACTTCGTCAACGCAACTCTTGTCTGGTGTGGAGAAAGAGCAGGGATTGACGGCTTTACTCTTGAGGTAAGATACATGAAATTGGCTGGAAAGACCTGACACTGAACGCCAATCTGGACGAGCTTTTGAAAAAAAAATATGATGACTTGACGGATAAGATCATATCATTGCGAGGTTTACATTTAAAACTTATTATGTGAACAACATAAGATAAATGATTTCTAGAGGTGTGTTTACATTTGCGATCGTTGGTTCGTTGGACGTCAGACTAGAGGTATGCCGGTGTAAGGAGTGAATGAGAAAATAAACTTTACGCGATAAACCAGGGACCTTTAATAAACTTAAGTTGAATGACAATATATCATACTTCAGTCTTATTATGCTAATGTTTTCATTGATTTGCAGTAAGGAATATATATATATAAATACTTTGAAAACATAAACATTTTTTCTACATTTTATTTAGTTCATCTGTTCCTACCTGTTCTTCCCGATCGCCTTCTTTATGGGAACAGATGTTTCCGACTGCCGTAAGGTGGCAGAGCTGATTGGTATCAAGACATTTACTAACGAGTTTATCGCCTACCAGAAACTGGCCGGTATTATTAGTAATGGTAACTCTCTGGCTAACTATACCGCCTTCTACAACGACACGGCGCACTGGTACTGGGACAACGGCAACGTCATTCTCAACAACACCGGCCAGCAGTTAGTGGGAGGGATCATCTCGGTAGGTATTATTAATCTGGGAACAGGGGTCATCTCTGAAGGTATTATATAAGAGTAACGGATCATCGCGGTACGCATGTACAGGTCAACATGTACATTTGTATATCTAGAAACAAGTGGTATGTCAGTAGAATTTTATAATGATCAACGTGTTAAGTCTGATTGTATATAACGAATCATTAGAATATACTGATTGGGACTAAAAAGACAATTTACTTAATATGTTTTTATTTATTTATTTATTTATTTATTTATTTATTTACAAACAACTATTTAAGTTTCTAAACATAATTATTTGGAGATTCCTCGCAAGAACAAGGCGAATACGACCAGATGTTCTGATAGAGTATACGTAGTCTTCTTCATGGAGGACATCCACCATGTAAAATGAAGATATTCCAAGCTACTCTGTTACTTAATAGCCGTAAAAATCAGTGGCCATATTAAATTTCCTTAAAGCTGTGTCATGTATATAGTAAATATAAACAGATCAATCGCTTACCCCATTTCCAAGGTTTTGTCAATATGTTGTTTCTGTAGAACCTGGAACTCCAATATATTTTCTTTGGAGTTCCGTCTCCTTGTATATTATTTGCCTAAATCTGGTAACTTTATTATTTGGTACATTATGTATAAATACATGTATAATCAACATACTCCTGACTATCGAGTTATCAATATAAACACTCTAGTATGTATTACACTAATGACAGATACACAAATATATCAGAAGGGCGAATTGACGGACTACTAGGCGATGTGATATCTAGGCTGTACATGTAAAAGCAACGTTCTTCAAGTGATATATTTGGGAAGTCATCCTAATACAGACACATTAGAAGTTTTATTTAACAGATAACAAAGATAGGCATGATCCCTGTATACCTAATAAAGGAATTTAACAATAAATCAAAGTTAGATATCTTCAGTTCGATGTGTCACTAGACTCCAAATGTCGTATTAACATCTACTTTTTTCCTTTTTTCCTTTACGTTCCTCAGAAAAAATCACTCTTAAGTTTAAAACAGTCTCATCTTCAATCTTTAAACTAATATTAACAATTGTATTGTTCAGAACATTCTGCATAGTAAACACATGCACAAAAATGTTTTTATTTTGTAGGACAAATCAGAAGTTATCGCCACTTATGCCTTATGTGGCTTTTCCAACTTTGGCTCCATCGGTATACTTCTGGGCGCTATGGGCGCGTTGGCGCCGACACGAAAAAGAGACCTTGCCCGGATGGTAGTCCGTGCCATGATTTCTGGGACAGTAGCGTGTTTCCTTACTGCCTGTATCGCCGGTAAGTCTAAAAACATAACAGATATGATCATAACGGAAAAATAAAATCTAAGCTCACTTTCACGTATGCTTCTGATCGCAAGTGAGATCTTTAGAATTTCGCTTTACCGGAAAGGGATTGTCGCAACCACACGGCACGCACGCACGCACGCACGCACACACACACACACACACACACACACACACACTATTTATATATATGAATAAAACAAACTTATAAACATATACATATGTTAATGAGTTTGTTTTCTTTATTTTTTCTGATATACATACTCCGTGTAGGCAAGAAATGAAAACTTTGCTTAATAACTACTGCAGTGCAGAATTCCGATGTACAATGAATTTGAAATTGATGATAAAATATAATTTATACTTCAAGTGTTGTTTATGAAACGACAATATTACATGGATGGGGTTTCAGTGTTAAAACGTTTAAAATGCTTTTGGGAGGAGGAAAACAGAAGGATTATTGTGGAAATGTCGCGTGTTGACCAGGCTGTAAATCATTAAATGAACATCAAACACAAATACATTATAGAGTTCATATATTGACCACGAGACCGTTACAGAAAAAAATCACGAAAAATTAATATCAGTAGATAGCATACAAAAATATCGCAAGACATAGATTTGAATATTGAAAAATCAGCTTTAACGTTCACTTACTGTGCATTATTGTAGCGAAAAGTCTGTTAAATAATCTCTAATACCATATTCTCAAAGTGTATCGGAACGTTTAATACTTTGTACAAATTAGTGTCTGGCTTTAATAAAGTCATGCCATGTCTGCGGTTTAACCAGACAGTTTTCACACCTAGTGTATAAACTTGCCGGCCATTGACCTAGCAAAATCATTAAGTAACACCAATATTATCAAATTATACCTGTATGTTGTTTTCTATTTATCAGATGTTCATTTCAGTTCGAAATGTCCATTTCATGATGTAATAAATGTTGACATAGATTACGGGATAAGATAATGACACAGTTGTGTTACACAACCACCCGAGTCTAACGCTCTATACACACCCTTGGGCCCCTTATAATTAATTCTAGACAACGCGTCCTTTTAAGACGTTCAGCCTAACTACTAATTCATTATACAAGTTTTGCGATGTTAGCTCTACAGAATAAAGAAATACCGACATATTTTTAAAACCACATTTCATATTAGATACACTAAGCATAAATGCTACAGAGAAAATCGGGAAATGTCTTATAACAGGAAATCAGAATTTTGTTTCAAAGAACGCGGAGGGAGGTACATGTTCACTCACACGAGACTGAAAACAAATTAGAAATCAATCATATATAAGGTCTAGGTTAGAAAATGGCTGAACAAAAATTAAAAAAAATAACAAAAAACAAAAACAGTTACATCCCTAGAGATCATGTTTATCTTGTACGTTTGTTTATTGCAGGATTGTTGTACAAAGACTACTGAGGACGAGGTTTACTGACCGTAGAATGATAGCAAAACTGTACGAGGCCAAAGATAGACATCGGGGGTTTAAACGACAAATTCAATGCATGGCTGAACACATGATAAAAGCAGTTAAACATCCAGTCCTTGACCGTACCCTGCTTGGGGCACTGTCCCTTCATTTACTCTCAGAAATTAACGCCTCATTGACCATTCGCAACTACATGTAGGTCAATAGGTCTCTATAAACGTACATAGAAAAGAGAATTAAATATTACACAGCCAAATGACCAGGATCAATAGAGCAATGCTGTTCCTTAGACCGTTAATTCTCGGCCCTCGTCGGTCGTCAAGTTTATCGCTATGTACTGACAAAGGGCAGTAACTCTGACAGTCGAATGCGTTGTGTATGGAGACGTCGTCGTGCGATCATGTCACGTGATAACATCCAGGACAGACACTAAGTACATTTTGTGATATGGTATTTAAATGTGTCGAGTTTTCTAAAGTTGTCTCTATTCCAACAAATACTTTCACCAAAGACACCAAATCGCTTCTTTCCATTTTTATTTTCATTAGAAATGCCGAGTTAATAAGATTTATTACCACATTGACACGCATCAAATGAGATAATTCGTGTGTAAACGTAGTTACGGCACGCTTCTTAAAGAAGTATGTCTATATTGACATATTACATCATAGTTACGTCACTAAATAGGTCACGTCATATGTCATTTAGGTGTAAAATTAGTCATAATTATGAAATAATTGAATTCCCTAAACATTTAACCATAATAATTGTGAGGGCCAACAACAACTGATTATTTTTATTTATTTATTTATTATCATTATTATTTTTTTGGGGGTAGGGGTGGGGGGTGGGGGTGGGGTGGGGGGTGGGGATGGGGGTGGGGGTGGGGGTGGGGTCCATATACACTAAATATAAATATCTGAAGAATATTTTTTTTAAACAAATTACACTTTCTTAGAAATATATTCCCATCAATAAAATGATATTAAATTGCAAAAGAAAAAATGTACAATGATAACTGAGTGAGCATGCTTATGATGTCTCAGAGAAGCCTTTCGTGGAGGCCTAGCGTCTTAGACTGAGGTCCCTCTCTACAATGTTAGATCTTCCAGCATTTCACAGCACGAGCGCTGTAACAGGCATATTTTTTATATTTCACAATCTAAAAACCCGTATTGATGATAACAAACAAAATGTTTGATAGTTTTTCTCTTAAATATCATTGATGCTTAAATGTATGAAAAAGTCGTACTTCTCCGATTATACGGCTGTTGCTTGTGAAAATATTTAGCTGCTTGGTCTCTTACGTGAACAATAGATTTGTAGTGTTTTATGTAAATCATATGCATGTGTGCATATTGTATCTTTATTTGTTTAAATGAAGTTTATGACACTTGAATTTAACTTTACGACAAGGAGTTTCCCCGATGACTAGATAATCTTTAGTGTTCCAAAATGACCTAAATATTTGCGGATAAACCCAAGTATTGTGACAAAATGACCCGAATACCCAAAAAAGGATGACGGAAAGACTCAGATAATTTCCTATTGGAGAGATAAATCCGAAATTAAGTTCCAACAGGTGACCAGAGATTGAAGGATAATGCAGTTATATTCGAGGGCTTGCGTTAAACGTACATATCAATTGTACTGTAGTAGGAATAATTAAAAAAAAAAAAAAACACCACCTGCCACTGCTGGGATTCGAACTAACGACACCTCGGCCTGTAGCTGGACACTCTACCGCTCGACTAAAATGAAAATCCACTAGACCAAGGCTAGTTAGATGACCTGTACATTTAATAATATTATTGTATTATGTTGGCATTGTCTAATCTAGTTGCATTTATCAACAACTTTATACGTATTTAGATGATGTATAAACCCGATTCATGCTTTATCTTATATATATATATTCACGTTTAGATATGTCACATTGAATGTATCAATATAATATATTTTGCATTTTTAAACGCAGCGGGCTTCCTACGAGTTAGACAACTTGGGCTCTTTCTTTATTAGATCCAAAGGATATTGATTTCATTCTTATTTTATTTTACTTGAATTCTCATTGATTGTATAAGTGGGATGGGTGTCGGTACATATGGGAGAAAGTTTGTGAACTCTGACGAAATAATATATGTACATGTACATTTGTATACATACGCCCCATCATATTAAATGTCATATGTAAGTTTATATTGATTTTATTATACTTTTATACACGATGCTATAGTAAATAACTTTGTTTGTAAACAGAGACCAAGTGTTGAGTTTTTTTCGCATTTATTAGTTTTAGCGATGTGTAGTAAATTGTCTGTACGGTTAAGGGGAGACAACTGGTTTTGGTAGGACAAGATAATTTCGATGATCACGACTGAAGCTTTGTATACGTTTACACGCGTACCTATACATAAAAGTACTAATACATGTTTATAAAAATGTATATTAGCGTCTTTGGTGAATATAGCGGATTGTATATATACTGAGGTATATAGGTACGAGATGGTACCCATAAAAATGTATATTATAATCCTTTTGTAGACTCAGGTAGAAAATGATGTAAGGCATCACAATCAAATTATAGATACATTGTCATGATAAACACTACACCACCATACAGTTCAATGATTATCTTGTCTGATAAAGGGGACTTGGCGTAGTCATCAAGACATCACATAAAATGCACGTACTTTGTTATTTTCAAACTGGTAAACTAGAGAATACTTTTGCACGGTACATCACCTTCTAACGTTTCTATACCATCGTATACATTTTAACAGTACACCTACGAAGTACTCATCTCTCATTAGTACACCACTGAAGTATTCATCTCTCACTAGTACAACACTGAAGTATTCATCTCTCATTAGTACACCACCGAAGTATTCATCTCTCATTAGTACACCGCCGAAGTATTCATCTCTCATAAGTACACCACCGAAGTATTCATCTCTCATAAGTACACCACCGAAGTATTCATCTCTCATTAGTGTAACACCGAAGTATTCATCTCTCATTAGTGTACCACCGAAGTATTCATCTCTCATTAGTACACCACCGAAGTATTCATCTCTCATTAGTACACCACCGAAGTATTCATCTCTCATTAGTGTAACACCGAAGTATTCATCTCTCATTAGTACACCACCGAAGTATTCATCTCTCATTAGTACACCGAAGCATTCATCTGTCATTAGTGTACCACCGAAGTATTCATCTCTCATTAGTGTACCACCGAAGTATTCATCTCTCATTAGTACACCACCGAAGTATTCATCTCTCATTAGTACACAACCGAAGTATTCATCTCTCATTAGTACACTACCGAAGTATTCATCTCTCATTAGTGTATTCATCTCTCATTAGTGTAACACCGAAGTATTCATCTCTCATTAGTACACCACCGAAGTATTCATCTCTCATTAGTGTACCACCGAAGTATTCATCTCTCATTAATGTACCACCGAAGTATTCATCTCTCATTAGTACACCACCGAAGTATTCATCTCTCATTAGTGTACCACCGAAGTATTCATCTCTCATTAATGTACCACCGAAGTATTCATCTCTCATTAGTACACAGCCGAAGTATTCATCTCTCATTAGTGTACCACCGAAGTGAACTGAATGCTTACACGAAGCAAATAGTCTCTTTGTGTAACAGTCAATTAAACGACTATCATCCGAATTTCCAAGGGTTCTCTCATTTTGAGCAATATTTAAGCGTGATCATTTTTACCAAGATTGCCGGTGTTTACAAACTGAAGAGGTTTGAAGGACAGAAACACTGCTACTATACCTTATGTATGGAATAAATTTTAAATAAAAATATTGTTGTTGCTTAACGGCCTAACCGACAAAAACGCATATGCATTTTTTAAAAGGCGAGGATTCAAGAAATAGGTAAATAAGTCTGAAGAAAAAAATATTTGCTATTTTGATTTTAAAAAAGTTAACAACCATAAACAAATTTTGCGTACAATATCTTGTCCCGTGCAGTTAAGGGGAGGTAACTGGTTTTCGGTCGGACAATAAATAATCTCGATGATCGTGACTGAAGCTGTGTATATGTTTACACATGTCATCTTGATATCTCAATATCTTAATGTATCATAATACTTCAACTTTGAACTTTATTCTTGAACATCCTTGAACCTGCGAACTAAAATGTAAACGATGAAATCACCGAATGAAATGTTTCAAAAATATCGTTAAATACACGTTATATTTTGAAGCTCGTTCTGTGAAAATGGCACATAATTTCAGTCCTGTACAGGTAAACACGGCATCATTGTACGTGTATCGGTAAATCATTAAGACTGACTGCTGTTTATATAGTGAATGATCATATTGTTTTTATCAAAGTTTGTTTAATATCTTCTGTATAAAGAATTTCTTATGTAATTAACGAAATGAATAATAAAATATGAACGCCATTTCCACATACCGGCAAAGGTATAACCAAAACATAGTTCGCAGTATGTGAATATCAACAACCACTGGACTTTATTTTAATGCCTCGGCTGTTTGTTCTTGTTTTTTCTTCATTTATTGGTCTAAAGGCTGCAGGTGCTTTTCTCTTCATATTATAATGACTTAAGAAATATGTTCAGGTGTAGCGCTAAATGATCACACATAATAATTTTATCTATTTATATATGTTTAAGTGCTGAAAGGAATCGAACTTAATTAATCAGTATTTTTCATCAAATAAAGTTTATACATTTAGTTTAATATCTCAATCATGTTAGGATAGGCTGTGAGATACAGGTAGGTCCCAGGTAATAATCCAGGTAACAAAAGGACAGCTTATATGAAACATTATATAATTGTTGTTAAAAATTCAATTTCAAAGTCATATGTACAGTTTACGACTGACATTTGTAACCATTGGTGTGAATATATACTGACCAATTCACTTACAGTAAATAAAACAATAATGACGAATCACGAGGGCATTATTGAAGAAGTGTAGAATGTCTATACT